ATTTGAAACTAAGCATTAAATTTTCCTATGGTGTGCCTTATTACATGGGCAGAGTGGGAAAGAAGAACTGTCATCTGAGCCTTGCTAATAGCACGAAAGCCAACCCGACGGTAATAATGGGGGCAAAAACAGTCTGGTTAGGGCCACGAAAAAAAATCACGGTCAGTAGCTGTTCGTGTTATCCACCAGACTTGCTCCAAATCGCTTGATCCATCTTGAACTTCAATAAGACAATACAACTGATCTACACGTCACTATTTTTTTAATTTTTCCATGCCTCAGATTCCTCTACTTTAAGAAAAGATCCTCAATAGATCCCGAAGTTAATTCAGGTCTAAATAGACTGGCGGTTCTGCTTGAACAAATTCTCATCACAGATTTGCTGCACGACTTTTATTCCGATGGTTACAAGATAAATCGACATGCTTGGATTAAGCGCAAGTCACTGCTAAAAATAGAGCGCGCCTTCCAGCTTCTTCCTCTTTTGTTGGCAGTCAAGGATGAGCTAAGTTTTGGTGTTGAATCATCCGTCTTAGTTGCGAACATGATGGATGGTTAATCGTCAAAGACTATTGCGATTATGTATTTGTTGAAGTTTTCTTACTCCAGTCGGTGGATTTAACAAAGTATTGTAAACTGAGTTACTATTTTCACTTTGAAGAGCAAACGAGATGCTCAGTTGTGTGATACTGTTTTTATGGTTTCTCTCAGCGTTGGGGAGGCTACTTGAAGACGTTCACTTCCGGTTTTGAGTTTGTCCTCCTTACGTTCACTTCCGTTTTGAGTTTGTCCTCCTTATGGGATTTTTTTAAACAAAAGACTGTGCGGTTAGATAAGATGTAATCCAACGTCTCGGTTGCCATGGGAAACGCTTTTCAAGGATCTCTACAGTCATTCAAATTTCACTAACTAGCGGCTTCTAAGAGTTCAACTCTCAGCTTTATTCTTTTATTCTAAGGAAACATTTTTTAGAACATTCCGGGGCAATAATAAATCAAATCGTCTATAGCGTATGTTTTTCCTGAATTTAGTTTGTGATGGCCGAATCATATAACGTTAACCTACTTATCGGAAAATTGCGGATTCTAGTCTGCCAGGAGACGCGTGTAATTTACAGGGATGCAGATTTCTAACAAGAATGGGACAGCTATAGAGGGGTTCTCGGCTTTTCAGACCAGAATGTCATCACTTGCCGTGCGAGTTTCCGATGGGATATTACGAAAGACCTAAGGCTGTTATGGCGAACAAAACGAGCCAGATATACGGCATCGCTACTGTTAAAACCTTTCACTGCGGCCGTTAGATCCCATTGTTCTAGACAGTTCTGACAATGCTGACATCGGTCGGACCAAATGATCAAGGATCACGAAAGGTTTGCCCCATTGGTCTCAGTACTGCCTCTTTTAAAATTGCGATTCACATTATCTAGTAAGTATTTTTAGGAATGGTGGATAAAGAACAAAAAGCTTACTCGTCAGTGTCCAATCAAACTTGGACAACAAATGTCAACATTTGCCTGAATAATATTAAAATTCTGTAGATAACTGGTGTGAAACATGTGTCACGTTAAACAGAGTCACCTGAGCGCTGAACCTGGTAATGATATTAAAGGTGTGGCCATCCTGCATACAGCTCCATCCATGAAACCTAGTCATCCTCCTTAACTGAAAAGTTCGAATTCTTATGGAGACTCCAGATTCATTGACGATGAAGTTGTGCAGAAAACAAAACTGTGGAAGTTGTTGGAAGGTGGACAAGTGCATGGTAAATCTCTATTTTGTATGTCAGATCTTCGGTAAGGTTTGGTTGCGTCATCGGTTGGTTTAGAAGTGAATGGTCTTGTTTCAAAACACGCGTTTTCTGGACACAAGAATTTATTGCAAAGCTTGCGTCCTGTGTCAAACACGACCTCCATTAATCTTCCTGATCCGGATGTTTGTGTCCAAAACACAGTGGATGTTTCGATCTCGGAAAGGCTGACATTGTCTTGTTTTCATTGCTTCATTTCAGAATCATATAAATGTTGTAAGCTGCATTGAATTGTGTGTCCTTCCCTGACTTACCGGTCTGCGGTGGAAGACTGGGTTACAAATGAGTTCATCCAGCTGCCTTTTTGTTCGCATTGCCTTGGTCTTAATGATCAGGAGATAACAGTGCTTTACATTTATAGGGCTAGAAAAGTGTATCAAAACAGGGAGTAAAAGTCGACCTGATGAACTGTTCTAAGATTTTCTTGACAAACAAACCTGATATCAGTTTGTATGATGCTGGTAATTAATTGTCCTGCCATGCTAGACTTAGCGTCCATGAGTATAGTTTCCGCATATAAATCGGTGACTTCAAAATATGAAAGTCACTTGCTTGTGCGATAGAAAGAATTCTAGTTCCTATAAACTCTTGTATCTTGGCTTCATGTCTCACCTCAAACCCGGAGTGTATCAACGGACATCTGCCACAAAATTCTGCCTTCATTCTTTGTTTGTTCGATTCAGGTCTACCAGAGCTGCATACCAAACCTCTACTAGTTAATTGCACCCAGAAGATTTACTACGTTTTTTGATGTACTACTGAAAAGATTGCCTGACAGGCGGATACTGTTTCGTGTGTTGCAAACCAATATAGGCAGTCGGTAAAGTTTGCCCTGATCAAAAATGACCAAGAACTCGTTCACCAGCAGTATGGGAGAACAGTGAAAGTCTGCTCAGCGAACATCTTCGCTAAGAAAGTGAACATATTAAGAAGTCTCCAGAGAAAATGCCCAAACTGAAGGATTTTTGGTGATACCCATAAAGCAAACAAGGCAAAACGGCAATCCAGGGTGCAGTGCCTCACCCTACCTTGCAGAGTCTACGTCGTTAACGGAATGCTAGCACGAACAGACAAACACCAGAACATATTGTTCTGTATGCATGATTGTAGTTGCAACCACGCGTTCCAACATCCGGAAAGAACTGAGAGGCCGAACTCCTTCGCTGTATGTCAGTGCCTGTGGAAACAGCTATATTGGTCGAAAGACAAGGAAACTCTCAAGGCGCTTGCTTAAGCACACACCATCCGTATGACAAGAAACGACATCGACACGACGCAAACGTCATCTTCTCACCTCCATATCAGCAGACAGAGCTATGTGTGATTACTTTTGGACCGCTTTGTGAAGTGTAATTCAAAGTGGTAAAGTGTCAAGGAACCAAGTGATTCCTAATCTCTTCTTGCTTCGGGAGTACCTACAATTTGCATCTTGGAGACCAGGCTTTGCGCACAGAAAAGTCTCTTGTATAAACTGACTCATATAGCAGCATATTCATTTATCAGGTTAGCAGAACTAGTAAGAATGGAACGGTTTTTTAATCTCAGCAACAACTATAGATCTCAATCAAACTGCCTGTTACTCGCTTTCATCGCCGATTTCATTGATTCTGTATGTCTGCGCCATCTGTATCTGTATCTGCGCCATCGCCGAGATCGCAATGCAAAAACTGGAGAGGACCATGTTGCCGGACATCAACCCGAAGCTTTGGGTACGTTATGTAGACGGGACCTTTGTCATCATCAACAAGAGAGAACTACAACGAGCAATCCAATTGATGAACAGTGTCTCCGATGAAATCATGTTCACGATGGAAGAAGAAAACAACAACAAGCTGGCGGTTTTAGATGTCCTCGTCACAAGGTTGCCAAATGGACAAATGCAAACGGAAGTCTACAGAAAAGCTACGCACACGGATCAAATTCTGAGCTACCACAGCAACCACCCAAACTGCCACAAACAGAGCTGCATCCGGACACTATTCAAGCGAATTGAAACACACTGCAACACAGTAGAATCTAAAGTAAAAGAAGAGAAACGCCTATACAGAATCTTTCAAAGGAACGGTTACCCAAGGAATTTCGTCTGGAGATCTCTGAGAAAATGCAATTCAACCAACGCGACAACCAGAAACACAAGCAAAACAATCACATTACCATATATCAAAAACATTTCGGAGATGACCGCCAGGATATTACAACAGCATGCCATAAAAGTGGCCCACAGACCGACTGACACGCTGCGAAGAGTACTATCAAAACCAAAGGGGACACTTAATGCAATGGAAAAGACAAATGTAATCTACAAAATTCAATGCAATGATTGTGAAAAACACTACGTGGGACAAACAGGGAGGAAACTGTCAACCAGAATCACCGAACATAAGCTCGCCACCAAGAGACATGACCAACTCTCTCTCATCTCTGCACACGAAGATGGGGAAGGACACCATTTCGATTGGAATAACGTCAGAATACTGGGCCAAGCAAGAACAAAGAAAGAACGCGAGTTCATGGAGGCGTGGTACTCCACTGGTGGAGCAATAAACAGGCACATTGACATTGATCCTGCCTACCAGCCTCTGAGGACAAAGGAAATCCAGAACCACAGAACCCGAGGCCGGACAAGGACTCAAAGAAGAAATCAATAGAACAGCAGGCTACTAAAAATAGGAGGCACGCCACAAACCAACAGATAAGCCGACCACGACGCAATACAGATCAAGAACGGGCCAATCAGAATCCAGGTTACAGCGCAAAGGCTGATCTTTGTAGACTATATAAACGCAAGCACGAAGAGAGGAACTACTCAACCAACAGCGCACTGAAGATGTCTCCTCGAATGATGACGAGACGTTTGCAAATCAATTGCCAAGCTCGGCGAACAGATCAGGAATGAAACCAGTTACTCAAGCAGTTATGCTCCCATGCGATACTCAATAAACTTCACACCGTTGTCATTGGTGGCATTTTGACCGACTTGGTAATAGTCTATTTCATGGTCCCACAAAATTCGATTTAATTAGACTGTGCTGTTTCCTCCGCAGTCCAGTGAACAAATATTGTTCATTTCCCCCCTAGACTTTATAAACAAACTGGTTACGAACGCGCGTACCAGTGGGTGTCTGAAGCACTAGGATTTTGCAAACTGAATTTATGTTGTTGCTGAAACTTAAAATAACTGTGTAAACTTGATGTGGGAAAAACTGTTCTATGGTGAGTGACGCAGTGGATTTATCTGTTTTCACGGTTACCTACTGTGACCCAAAAGTTCAGAAGTGTTAGGCGAGTAACGATATGGTCAACAGCTTGTTTGCCATTGTATTCGAAATGCTACGACTAGTCTTCTAGCTTCACTTGGAGTATCAGAGGCTTGTTTCCGGATGACTTAGACCCTCATTTCTCACCAGATATGAACATAAATTGGATTATGTGGTGGAGCTTCACAGTAAACCTAGTTGGATGAACGTGGTTGAGAGATCTCCAGTACTTTTATAGTTTGATCTTATCTCATCGGCCTCATTGACTACACACGCTTGGTTTCTGCATTACTTGTTTTGCCCAATGAGCATAACAGGGACGGATATGGATACATGTCAAAGTCAAAACGTTTTGGAACTCCAGGTTTTATTTTAAAGGGCCAGCTAGTTAGTGAGCATGAGGAGTTTCCCTTTTCGTTTGACTTTCATCTGGTAGGCAAAACCTTGTTTTGTCCTACCATGCACCACTCCTTTGAATGTGGGCGGTAACGACCAGAACACCCCTGGATAGCAGAAAAACAAGAAGGAACCTGCTGATCCACCAAACTCGACCATGTAGCTATCTCCAGATCCCATTGCTTTGTATCAGATAAATAAAAGCATCATCGCCCAAGCCCGCGCAATGCGTAGTTCCAAATTATTGATTTCCGTTTGGTGCAAACGTTCGCGTCATGAAAAATGAAAGATTTGATTCATGACTGACGCATTCTATGGGCTACGTACACCGGTATTACTCACGTTCTGGTTCGCTCTGACAAACCCCGTGCAACCTTCCTCCCTGAACTCGCTTACTAAGCACAGTGAATATCTTTGATTTGAATGTCCTCCGATAAAGTGGTCATCACCAGCACTATTATTGTTCCGATTGACGTAACACATGATTTTTTAAACTGGAATTTCGCCCCGCAACTGAAAATAATTCTAGAAAGCATAGAAGCGTTGTGTAGCTTTCCCTTATCCATTTGAACTAATCTACAAGGTTAAAAATCCCCAATCTTCGGAAAAATACGGATTTATCTGATATCCATTAACATAGCTTTGAAGCCACCACGTATTCATAGAGGCTGTTTTTTATAAAACGTTTGAGTAGTTTAGTACACGCTAACGAAACTTATTCTAGCCTGCCCAGCAATATCTTTTATCAGATTTTCCTTAAGCAGTCACATCACGTAAGCAATTGGCTGTTACCTAGGTAACGTACAGTATTGCTTCAGCTTGGCCTTTTGCAAATTAGGACATATGTTTACCTCATCGGTGCTGCATTATTTACATCCATCCCTTGTCAACCGCTTTAAGTACACTGCACGTGACCAAGTGCTACTTTCAACGTGTTGTCATTATGACAGATTCCAGCAAAAACAGCGGCAGCAATAAGGTCATTCACTCGTTTGCCTTTTAGACCTGGCTACAAGTGCCATTTCACGTACATTGCAGGTAGGATCAACAATGACCGGTTGTGAATAAAAATCAATTTGTTTTCATTCGGCTCGTGCGTACGTGTTTTTGTTTTGTTTTCATCCCCACAGTTGCTCATCAGTGGTACGAGGGTAGCTTGCTTTTGGATGTTGGATGTTGAAGGATGTTGGGTACCGAGTGCCAGAATTCCGTACAAATGATTCTATATCATGTGTTCGAAACAATGACTAATTATCTACAAAATGGAAAAGCTCATGTTTATCTTTAAATCCTCTACTGTTAAACGTCATAGGGAACGTTCAGCTCGAATATGCTGTTAGAAGGTAGCGTATGCTTGGTGTTCAATGAATGGACAAAAACTGACGAAACCTCATACAATGGACTGCAGACAGAAGCCAGTTTGGCAGGGCTGTTTTTATTGCTTCGCAAATATGACCTATATTGGGGCTCAAACTCGATGCGTCCGGTAAAACGCGTGGCCCACGTGAGCGTCTTTGATTAAAGTTTGAGTTTCATAACGCCTGGTAAGAATAATCTTTTGTGGATTGAACCCCGTTCGGGGAAGTTTCATACATAGTGCGACAAGCTTTTGCGCTTTCTATCAAATTTCTTTTGTTGTCTTGAACAAAATGTGTCTCACTCTGCATTACTAACCATGGGAACAAACTGAAATATTCGTTCCCTACACAACGCATTCCTATAATGCTCTTCATCTTCATTAACTGCTGAACTATTCCAGTTACATGATTTCATGCTCAGTTGCCACAGGAACTACAAATCTATGCCTATTTGAGACCCCTTTTTTGCAATGATCGCTGAGTCTGTCCCTGTAGATGTCAAATATGCGTACAATTTTATTTGTTACATCTGCATGATTTGGTCCGGACAATCAAAAGAGGATCATCCTGTAGGTCGACGTTCATCGGTTCATCGTCAAACCGGATGGAGGGTTGTATCTTCAGCACTTCGCCTTGATTCTGGCTGCCCTACTAACCACTGAGCAGAAGTGTCGCAGAAGGACATAGATCAAAATTCCTTAAATTCGCGGACATATCGCGTCACTACCAGCACAATGTATGAAAACTTGTTAGAACCGCTCCGTGCTTCCTGCATTTTAAGGAACATTTCACCACTCAGAATGATGAAACTTGGTTTGTTGATGTTTGAACACCTTTGAGTGTGAAAGCGGTTACCCTTGAATCGATTTCTCCCTATAATTTTGTTGGGAGGACAGCGGAATACCCATACCATCACAGTATGGCTCTCATGCTAAGATTCGCTTACTTGCAAAACATCGATCAGCTTCCAAGTGACAGCTAGGTGTGGTTGATAAATACTAAAACTGAACTGACCCATCACTAGGTTGCTGAGAGAGTGAGTTTTACTCTGTTCAGTCCCGTGGAATGTAATGGACAGTGACAGTAATCAGTTTCACCCCCTGCAAGCGAATGTCCAAATTCAATTTGGCCTAAAGAATTCCGTCAGTTGGAAAAGTAAGAGCAAGTTTAACTGTGTTTAGGACTGTTTAAATAACAGAGTCATCGGGCATAGTAGTGAGTGATTTTTTATTGTTTTTCAGGAATACATACCCGACACCGTTGTGCTGACTAACTGATCACGACAGAGATGAAAGTCTCCTCACGCCATTTGAAAACGAGCAATGGTCCCCCTCTGAGATCAATGTCTTTTGTACAGAATAACCTGCACCACAGAGCTTTAGTGGGTCATGTCGGTTCTTCTTCTGATAAGAATCGGAGTGTATGCAAGTTCATACGCTGGTTTCCGGCGCTACCTCACTTCATAGTCTCTACGGAGCTAACACCACGGGTTTCGACAGGCCTCTTAGGTAAGTTAGCACAAAAAATATTATAGTATGGAAATTACACCATGCCTCTCATCGGATGCTTAGTTTTGGTGTGTGTGTGTGTGTGAGGATATTATAGTATGAAAATTACACCATGCCTCCCATCGGATGCTTAGTTTTGGTGTGTGTGATACCGATATAAGGATGGGTCTAGGTTTGAAATTTAACGTTAAGATGCAAAGTAGGCCGACTAGGTTAGTGAATGTGAGCAAGGATCTGACCTTTTTAAACGTATGAAAACAGCACAGTAGCTTCATTCACGGGAAAATAGGCGTCTGTTTGCTGGTAATTGTAACGACTGAGGAGGGAAACCTCTCTGTTTGAGGTAAATGGGAGATTTGTCTGAAATTTAAATCATGTAACTAAGGGTTCATGGTGGTTATATAAAACATTCAACTCGGAGTATCTCTTCAACACAATTTCCTTCGGAAGGAACCAAAATAGCCGCTTTTATCTTGTATACAACTAATCTGAAAAGTGTGCAGACCCCAATTAGTTTGTAACGTGATCAGCAATGATGGAGTGTCTAGATCATATAGTTATCTCCTCATTTAAATCAAACGAAACCAGCCCATGGCGGCCCCTGTTCAGAGGGTTCTCCTCGTGAGACACTGTTCATTCCCGCTCATACCACTGACCGCATACGGTGCTTAGTTTAAAATTCTGACTTGATCACCTTACCGTACCACACCAACAGAATTCACGCGTAACTTCTGAGCATTTTGGTATAATATGGCAAAAAGTGGTTAGGTCAATTACCTCATACTTGCCACCTAGGCCATTTTTCCAGGTGAAAATGTTACATCCAAACTGGAATTGTCTAACTAAGCCAGCTTTAACCTAACGGTGCAAGAACCACACAAACCCAAAATAAGTTTCAATTAGTTATTGCGATAATACCATACGTAAAGAAAAACCGCACAGGTACACCTAAATAAGCTCAGCAGTCGGTTTGAGAAAGGGATATACTGAGTTCCAGAAAGGCCGACGCCATTTATGTATACTTAAAAAATAATTTTCTTGTGTGACTCGAATCTGTTCATTTTTGATGGATTTGTAGGAGCATCACTTAATTTTTAAAAAACTTTGCGGTGTTATAGGGTCCTGTAGCCTTCAACTGAAGTGAACCAGCGTTTCCAGCAACATCTACCGAACATGGATGAAGTAATATCCCACAGTAAGCGGCAGAATACGCATTACCTGTTGTCGGATAGGCGCACATCCATTTTGTACGAATGAACTAACTATCTAGACTGAGAGGTATTATTTAGCAATGTATGAAAAATGTCTGACACAACCCTATTTGGGCGAATCATATTACTGTGGAGCGGTCACATAAGTGGCCTTTTCCGCTTCCCTTTGTGACAGTAATTCACAAGTTTTTTCGGAAAAAATGTACAGAAAACGCCAGATACTTGATGGAAACATTTGATTATCGAACCATCAGTGTACAAAAATTGTAATTGTCGAGTTACTTGGTCAGCATCTGCATCACTACCCCATTTAAGATCACGGATATGCAAAGACCTGACACCGGCTGACCGGCTAAGTGTGATTCATCATTTTACCTTAAGAGTTCAAATGGTCACAAGCAACAGATAAGCGGATTATTACACTTTCTTGCCTGTTACTAAAGGGAATTGTCCGTGGTCCAACCTGACTACCTTTAACTGCAT